CACACTATTTGGGAACACCTATTGCTAGGACTCAAGTATTACAAAAGCTATCTATGTATGTGCCCTCAATCATTTTATCCCCTTAATTCTTTGAAATATAAAAACAAAACTGAGCCTCGTGGTTGAGCCTCCAATGCATAGGGAAAAAAAGTTTTGATGAAGCATCAAAAAGGTATTTAAAATATTTCTAAATGTTTAAAAGTTTTTAATAGACACTTTTTGATAATTGGAATAAATGTACTGAACTAAGAAGAGGCTGTGATGGTCAATGTGGAGGCTCAGGTAAAGAATAGGAGCTTTATTTAACCTAAGCACTTAAGGTGAACTTGCATGGAGGGAAGTCTGTGTATTTGAAACTTTGTGTGGTATTTAGGTAACTTTATTATATTTCACAGCTACAGCCCCTGTCCTGACAAGAAATGACATCAGTGAATGCTGAAGGCAAACAATTTAGCATTGGGTTTGTGTAAATTTGAATCATATTCTTAACATAAAGGAGTTTGTGGTAACATGTAAAATTAATTCAGTTATAAGAGTACAATTTTTACAACTTTGTGGGTAAAACAACTACTAATATCCTATCATTTTTGTCTCCCAGTATCTTGTATTGGAGCAATTTATACAGGTATTTGAGAGGTCTTACTGAGTACTTAGAGCTCTACTTTATTTTGTCTATCGTGCTATTTATTTTTATTATAACCCCGATCATTGGGTAATATCATAGAAGCAAACAGTTTCTACTATTACACCTATAAACTAAATACTTTATAATCAATGTCCAAATCACAGGTCCCCTTGGACTTCAGATATGTAGACTCAATGGGCATATAAACAATGGGGATATGTCCCAGGACTGTTCATCATGTTCAAAAACTAAACACATTGGCTTCTTCGCTTAGACCTCATGAACTGACAAATTCTTCCTCCTCTAAAACTCATCCTTTTATATTTTTTGCTTTGATACTAAGTATAAGTACCTAAGAATCATTCTTGATTCTTGTCTTTTCTTCTCATTTTTTATCTAATAAATACAAATCCCAGTTGATTTTATCTCTCAGTGTACCTTATACCTGTTTTCTGGTCTCTATCTCTATCACTGCCTCTTTACTTCAGCCCTTATCAACTATCTATGGAATAATGATATAGATGCTTATAAGGTTCTCCTTGCCTAGTTTAAACTGCATTTCACATAATAATACTATGATCTTTCTAAAATGGAAATCTGGTCATTTCTCTCATTTTTACAATTTTTCATTATTACCTCATGGTTGAGTGATAATCCAAACATCTGTGATATTTAAAAAAATTTCTACATGTCTAGTTTTCACTTCCAACTAACCAATGCATAAAGAAACTATTTAGTTTTCCCCTCAATAAGCCATATGGTGTTTTCATGGGTTTGGACATATTGTACATAGTACTTGAAATGCTTTGCATTTTTCCTGATATATCTGGTGATTTTTTATTCTTCCTCCTACCCTAACTGAGGTGGGAATATTGAATTATTCTCTACTCATTGTATTAGTTACCTATTTCCATAATAATGCTGTGTAACCAACAAATACAAGACCTCAGTTTCCAACAACAGCAAAGCAGGGCATCTAGATAACTCTGCTGATCTTGGCTGGTTTGCTTGTGTATCTGAATGTCAGCTGGTAGTTAGGTAATGTAGGCTGGCATCAACTGTACTAGAGACTAGTACAATTCACATGTGTATGTCTTGCTTATCCTCTAGTAGGCTAGCCTGAACATGTCCTCATGAAAACAGCAGAGGTGCAGATGAGGACAAGTAAAAACTTCCAGTACTTCTGAATATCTATATTTAGAAATGGCAAACTGTAACCATTACCTCATCCAGTTGGCCAAACAAGTCACATGAGATGAGGAAATATACTGCATGTTTATGGAGAAGATTTCTGAGGGAAAGGTAAAGAATACAGTTATTAATGAAATCATTATATTATACTTCTATTAAAGCATATTTCATATTGTGTAATTTTTTTTTAACGTAACTTCTAAATGTGTGTTCTTTGAACATAAGGACCACGTTTCATTCAGCTTTCTGCTCCAGGGACATATATTTAGTGGTTCTTGATAGGTATTTGTTGAAAAATAAGTTATCGTAATATAATTAAAATCTAATATATGTAAATACATGACACATATGTTATATATCAAATGAAAAATAAACATATATGCATATATATGTTTGAAAAATATATGAATGTTTTTAAAGTACTTTAATACATAATTTTTCAAAATACTAAAAATCTTCAATATCTGATGAATGATAGAGAGCACTAATTGTAGAGCAATCCTAAATATAAATGGTAAATGCATAGCATTATATCAACTAACTTATATGATGACAATTCATATAGTCTGTAGAGATGGTTATAATTTTTATTTGCTAAGAAATTACAATTACAAATTTACACTTTTAAACGGTAATATTATTGAAAAACAATTTGTTTAGATATTTTCATTGCATTTATATGACTTATAATTCTTTATCAAAGTTAACTAGTCTACACATGATGCTTTGGACTTTTAATGATAATTAATAAGTTCATGCATGAAAAGTGTAGGTCAATATTAACATTTTACAGAAGTAAAAATTTCTTCTTCATAATCAATATAAGTAGAACAAACTATTCTTACCATGTTTTTCTCTCAGTGATTAGAAAATATAATGAATGGCTAGGTGTATTACAAAACATTTTCTCAGCATTGTTGTATATAACAGAACTAGCTATTTTGGTTATATAATAATGAAATATAAATTTTAATATTTCAATTATAGGTGATTTTATTTAGAAAATTCTTAATTCTTTCACTACTGAAAGAATTAAATTTATTTATGTTGCATGTGGTCTGAGTTATTAAAAGAACACAATTTATGAAAGATTAGAATATCTAAAACCTCTTTTTTTTAATTCCCTCTTTTCTCACTAGTTACCCCATTCCAGGGAGGTTCAGTAAATGATTGTTTTTGTTTTCTCTTTTGAGTTAGATAAATGAACAAACTTCAGAAATTTGTCGATAATCCCAAGCAAGGTCAGAGGTTGCATGGCAATGAATTCAATAGAATTGCTTGTGTTTGATATATCTTTTGATATGTTTAAATCAGTTAATAGAAGCTGCCTTAACCACTCTTTCAAAGCTAGTCTTGGGAAGAGTGGGGGGAATTGGAAATTCTTTCGACTACTAGAGAAAATATGAATTGTTACAAACTTTCAGAAAACTAAAGTGATAGTATCTATCTCGACTGAAAATGCCAATAGGTTTTTTGGTTTTGTTTTTTTTTTTAACCTCTTTAGGACATCTCTACTACAGAAATAAAAGAATTGCTTTTGTTTTTCTTTCAGTGGTTCCAGACTAAAATCACCTGAAATATTAAAAAAAATGTTTGAATAAATTTTGTTATAGCCTTATAAATGAATGAAAGCTATATGCAATGATCTGGCACACTGCTCATGAAATATGTATTAACTCTGTAAACCAAGTTAAAGAGGAAAAATTGTATTAAAGTTTAACTTTTTATTAAAACATTTTTAATGCATATTGCTGTTTCTCATTAATCTGTTATCATTGGTTATTTCAGGAAGTGGGAATCATGTAGCAGTGTCAAGTGGTGGCCATTATTTTTTACTTTCCTTTTTAAAAAATATATTGGTTACTTTATGTCACTGGTCTCATAACTTTTTACTTAAAAGTAATAATAAGTAATAAATTGGGGAGAAAAATTCTATCTCAGAATACTTTTTATTAGAGGATTTCATATAATGATTGGCTAGAGAACTGAAACAGTAGAAAGATTATGATGTGTAGAATGTTAAAGAATAGTTTCTTACTTATTAGACTGACTGAGTTCTGGTTAGAAATGGCAACTTACAAGAGCTTACTAATTGGTTTTCTCATCTCCCCATTCCTCTATATTATTGTTCTTTCTGTTCTATGTTCTAACCTTAAACTAATTTTTTCAATGTTAGTATTTGGGATCCTATCCTTAAAATTTGGGCACATCTCAGAAGTAACCTGGTTGTATGCAAAAATTTCATTAGCACACTAGTTGTTTTGAACCATTGTATATTTCTCAAAGTTTGGATTGGGTCTCAAGTGTGGTCCACTTTTATCCATGTAGTCCATTTACCCTGAATAATTTAATGTTATTTTTGAGATAGAAATACTGAGGATTATAGATTTCAGATCCTGGACTTTGAAATTTTCAATTTTGAGCCTGAAATTTCTCTAACCTTCTGATCCCTTTTAATTCTAAACCCATCTAATCTCTATGACCCTCCTGCAGCTTCCCCTAATTCTACTTTTACTGTCTAACTCTTGAATTCAGAAACCCCTTAAGATACATACTATAAAAAGGCAAAACCAAGGTTGAAGCAAGAGATGGAGCTAAGACAGTAGCAGGAAGAGAGAGACAATGAAGTACTACAAGGCTTGACGCTAAATGCAGAAGAGATTGCTGAATGAGCCTGGGCAGAGGTTTTGCCATAGAATATTTATTATTCTGTATTGAGAGCCAGGCTAGAGAAGAATTCAAGTGATAAGCAGTTTTTTTTAAATTTTTAATTCATCTGATTTAAGAATATTAATGAATGATAGCCTGGTAATTTTCTCACCTAAAAGGTAAAATAGAATTATTATAGCTACCATTTATTGAAAACTTGCTGTGTGCTGAATATTTTATACTCATGAACTCATTTAATGTTCAAAACAAACTTGTGAAGTGGGCACTAGTATTATCATCCCTATTTTACTTAGGAAACTGCAGCTAATTAATTTGTCTACTCTTACACAATTAACATGTGTTAGAGCTGGAATTTGAACCCAGAAAATCTAGCTTCTGAGTCCCAGCTCTTGGGTACTATGCCAGGAAACACCTTTTCTCTCCTTCTCCATAATGTATCCTTCAAACCCTCATAAGCTTTAGGATTAATGACTATGTCTTTTCCACCATTCAAATCCCCTTTCTCTCGGCACAGCAGATACAAACTAGGAGGTACGAGGAAGCAGTCTAATTGAACCTATTCATATTAAGGTAAGACATATTAGTCATGAAACCCTCTCAAAGGTATTTTCATTTTTAAAGAGAATGCTATTAAAACAAATTAATTTGTCATGTGAAATGTCCAGTTGTGTAAAACCAGCAAGGGAAATAAGGAATGTGAGAGGGAAATATTTTTCAGCAGAGGTTGTCATTCATTAAAGAAACTGATGTATAGATTTCCTAAATTACTCTTGTTCTTGTATAGCAACTTTAATTCTGCATGTTTCAACCCAAATTTTTGTGTTTTTGTCTTTTGTTTTTTCATTGATGTTCTCAATTGCTATAAGAGTGGGAATCCTGAAGAAGAAAAAGAGAAAGTAGAGGATAGAAAATACAAAGACAAATTTAAACGTAGAAGGAAAGATAAATAGCCAGTTCAGGAGACTGCATATATAGCATCAGGAGGACTATGGAGAAATGATACATAAATAGAAAAATGTGAATTTATCAATTACTGGGGTCTGTTAATGTCAGTAATCATTAACCATTTTACAAGAACTGCACAAATTATTTTAACAGCCAAGATACATTCCTGTAATCATTAAACATATATATTCTCTTTGAAGTCCTTATCAAAAAGTGAAATTAAATACACAAATATACACACCCACTAATTCAAATGAACAACTACAGGTTAAGATAAATTATATTAAATAAGGTCAATTAATTCCCTGCAAGATAAGCCAATACTTTAATCCAGAAATATTTTAGATGGGGTTTTAGGTGGGGTACTTCAGTATGTACATCTCCCTCTACATATTTAAACAATCGCTGAAATCTACTTTAGCTACTTATAAGAAGCATTGAATGAAAACACCAAAATCACAGTTTCTATAGAGATTTTAGAGAGAAATCTTCTAGGTAAAACTACAGTTAAATACTTTTATGAAAGATAATATTTTCATTATATTTTAATTTTATTCCTTTTTCCCAAAAGTTCTAGGAGAGAATTTTCAAATCAATGGAAAGCTTTTAGCCTCATCAATTTTATTGAAATTTGCCAAACATGGAAAGTAAGACATAGGAGCCAGATTAGTGAGAACAGATAAATATATGTGTCTAATTCTAGTAACTAATAGATCATCTTTTCTGCATCTTTGTAGAGCAGGCCTACACTGAGAATGTCCTTCAGAGTGTGAAATTGCCCCATGGTGTTGTCGAACAAGTCAAGAATATTTTATGGATGTGGTCATCTATCCTGACTGTTCGCTTGCTCTGATAGACTCTGCTCAGTTCGGAAAAAATCATCATTATTATTTTATGAGATTGTATTTGATCAAATGGATTTAAAAGGTACCTGCTACTCATTTTTTTAATTGTAAACAAAAATCTAAATTTAACTTTAATTGGGATTGAAGAGATCAAAATTTAATTTTAAGCAGTGATAATTTTATTTTTCACACAATTATATCAGAATTTTGCTGTTATAAGTCAGTTACCCTGATACACCACTTACATATAAGAAACTCACAAGTCACCCTTCTAAATTATTCTTTTGTTTCTATTTCTAATTCTAAACAGTTGCATCATTGATTTAAGCATCTTCTGAAATGTATAATTGCAAAAACATTCTGAAAATTAAAATGCTTACATTCTTTTACCCATCCGTTACTACTGAGGTGTTAAAATAATTTATTCCATTATATTAACGATTGCTTGATGCATCAAAAGATAATTTGCCATGTAATTTTGTTAAACCTGAAACTGTAGCATATTTTCTTGATAATACCATTAATATATCAAGAGTAAATAAAATGTTTAGTGGTAGGCACATTAATTATCGCTTTCATCTATCGGTGTTTAAAACTTAGAAATAATTAAATGTGCTTTAATAAGATATGGTTCTGAGAAAGCAGGATCATTTATGAATTGCTAGAGGTGCGTGGAGCTACGTTTCCCTTGAGAGACGGAATTTATGCCTAACACCCCGCTGATTGTTCAGGAGGTAAAGAACCAATAGCTGCATGTACAGAGGTTTAATTTAAAGTGTGTTTCTCACTAGGCTGCTCACAACACTTAATTAAACTCTGCTGTTTTGGCAATGACAAATGCTGTAGTGCAAAAGGAACCCGAGTCGCAGTGACTGAGAAGCTTTTGTAATTTCTTTCATGGGCACTGGCAGCCAGATCCAGGTCAGAAAAGAAAGCGAGAATAAAAGAAGACATATTTAAGGTGTTTGGACAAAGTTGCCACCTTTCTGCATCTATTTTAGTTACCCAAAAGTGCTGCATTATTTAAAAGGATTTAATGATGTGGTGTTTGTGGAAAATATGGCATGTGACCTGGGAAGACAATTTGAAGTCCATTTCTAAGTCATTGTGGCTTTTGTAAAAATCTTTTTCATTAACAATTATAAAACCTGACATAATAACTGATTCAAATTTAGATAAGTATGTAGTGCTTTTGTTTATGGGCATTATTTTATGCCATATGGTGTATATGTTTTGCACTATAGGTTTAAGTTTACTTTTGAGTATATTTTCAAAATTAAGGATGTCTATAACATAGATCAATAAAAAAGCCCCCAAATTTTTTATTAGAAAATTAATTACAAAGTGAAGCATAGACAACCAACTTTTAAAATTCTTCATGTTGCAGTGCTTACTTTGAAAAATATCTTAAAGTCCTTTAATATAAAACTATCATCTCTTATGCCTAGGCACATTTATATAGGGCAGAGCTTTCATTAAGGTATAGACCCATAACTCCATTTTTATGTTGTTCTTATTCTTGAATGAGATCAAGGGTAAATAACTGAGATCAAGAATAAAATATCAAACAAAATAAAATAGCTAATATTTATTGAAGATTTACTCTGGGTCAGAAAACATTTAAGCATTTTTATATCTACAAACTCAATCCCCACAATAATCTATATATTCTGTACTATTATCCCCCATATACAGATGACAAACTGAGGTGTAGAGAAATTAAGAAGCATACAAGATCACACAAGTAGTTTGTGAAACAGCAAGGATCCAACCCAGGTGATCTGTTTGCAGAACACATATCCTTAAGCAGTGTACCATACTGACAAATTAAAGTATTACAAACTATAAGCAGAGAAGTACAATCAAATCAAAGAGAAAATGACATATAAACAGCAGTTACTTTCTTGCTTATTCTTAAGGGACTGCACTTTCTCTTAGAGAATCACATTGCCATAATAAATTTAGAAATACGTCAGCTCTAGCTCCTATTTAGGTGCAGAAAGTGAGGCTTAGAGAGGTGAAAGAAATGCACAATATTGCAGAGCTAATCAACGGCAGAGCTAAATATAAAACTAGGTTTCTCACTGCCATTCTTTTTGCTTTTCAGCACATCATGTTCTTCACTCTTGATTGCTGCCATAGCTTATCTAGAAGCAAATACATGTACTAGTTATTACAAATAATTAAAGGTGAGATTTATTTAGTCTATCATTATATTCTTTATTAATTAAAATATGACTTATTATTAAAATTGTGATATCAAAGTTTTCACTTAATTAAATTTGTAGATAAAAAATTCTATCAGCATGGTGCTCAAAAGTTGTTCAAAATATTTGACTGAACTCATTGTTTCTTTTTCAAACTGGTGTCATAATTTCAACTAGATTCATTTTAGGTCATAGGATTACACAAAAAAATTTCAGAGCATAAAGAATATAACCTTTATTCCCTGATAGTATGAGCATTCATTCTTTACTTGAAAACACCCAGGGTGGAAAATCTTAACTTGCCTTTTCATCTTTGCACAACTCCAGTAAGAAAAACTTTGTGGCTTATTTCATCTATTGGAATCTGCCACATTACTTAGATAGTGGCCAGGGCTCAATGTTGGGTAGTATCATAAAATTTTTTACAGGAAATTAAAAGGATTATTATTTTTTTGGAAATTGGGAATTTTATTTGGTTTTTTCCTTTTCATTTTTGGTTTTAGGCGTTTTTGGATTTTGTTTTTTAACGGAGTTTTTTTTATTTTTCCCTTTTCAATTTTTGGTTTTTTGTTTTCCTTTGAAAAAATTTTTTTTTTTTTGGATTATTGTTCATTTTTTTTTCTTTTTTTTTTAGCAATTCAGGGACAAGCATCACACATACAAGGGAATAAGTCATAATTCTCTTTCCTATTGGAATACATTGTATATTCAACCTGACAGCTTCTAAGACACAATATACCAAAAAGTACCAACTATGAAAGGTTGTGAAATTATATCTCCAGGATGAAAGTAACATCTAAAGCTTTCAACTGAAATAGTTTTAGTCCCGTTCATTGGCAGTGGAGGCTTGGTTTTTATGAGGGTTAAAAGGGTACAACAGACACTATGTTTCTGTCTTCCACCTCTTCACATTCAGGTAATTTCACATTCAGCAGAATTTACACCTTCATTCATAATATCCCAGGGGAACATTTTGGTACAAGTGATTTTAGTTTCCATAAGAGATTTTTCAAAACTTTGTATTGTATCTAGGTTGTTTTCAATATTTAAATATAATTTATATTTACATTTTATCTATTTTATCCATTGTAAAAATTCCATTTATTACTCAGGTAAATCTCTTTCATTTAGGCTTAAATGCCACCTTTTCACAGATACATTATTTGACTTCCCTATCAAAATTATGCTTTTATCTCCTTTATCACAGCACCCAGTTTCTTCATAGCACTTGTCAAATTTTGAAATATGTTCATTTTCCATGCATATGTATTTATTTGTTTTTATTTCTATCTCCACTAAATTATAAAGCTGGAGCTAGGACAAAATCTACCTTGCTCCCCATTTAATCCTCAGCATCAAACACAGTGGCTGCTATTTAAATTTCTCAGTTAATTTTTACTGAAGGAATAAATTAATAAATGAATGAATGGATAAAAATGGTCAAACAATATATTCAATATTGTTTCTTTCTGTATATCTTTATTTCTTATTTGCTGCCACTCTGAAAGAACCTTTGGAGATTTGTTCTGCTTAGCCCAAAGTTACACTCTTTTAACTAGAGAAGAGAAAATCATTTGAAAGCATTCACATCCTAAAATCTGAGATTACAAACCACTGGTTTTCTGAAGTTTGATAGGTATTTATCCACAAGAAGCACATAGTCAAGGAAAGATAGGATTTCGTAAGTGAGAGCAGTTGATGTGATGAAATAACAATATTCTTATGTTCATTTTGTTTTCTAACTACCTACATGATATGGACATATCATTCTAGCCTCTCTGGGATCTTTATTATTATGTGTAATAGGTGAGGATAATAAAACTTAACAGAATTGTGGTGAACAATCAATTGGAGAATATATTTGAAGGAACTATGAAAAACTAAATAATTATACACGTTCAAATCACAATAATAGTAACCAGTATAAATAACATTATATTTAATAATTATTTTATATAACAAATAATTCCTTCTTTGATTTCTGTTCTAATTTTTCCCATCTTCAGTAATAGTACTTTAAGTTTGCGCAAACATTCTAAGTAATTGTTTTATCTCCTCTATAATGTATTCGGCAAATATAAGAAAACACTATAGCAAGTTGTAGTGATAGTTACAGTTTATTATTCATAGAATCAGTTAAATAAGACTTCACTCTCCAGCTTTCCTGTATTTTCACTCCCTGAGATCTTCCTAAAAGCTGAATGGCTCCTGAGAAATCAAAGTAGTTCCCTCTCCTGTATTCTCACCATGTCCTTTGCAATGTTTTAAATGAACTTAAGCTGTAAAGGGGCTTAGTAAATTTCACCTCTCTGGATACTCAACTCTCTTCACCCACATCCCATCATCTAACATGTAGTGGATACAGAATGTAGTCGAGTGGTTAAGGCTGAACTTCACGTCCCCAACATTTAGAGAAGCAATTCAAAGCAGATAGTGAGCAATTCAGCCTGGGCCTATTTAGCCTAGTCATTTATTTTAAAACCCTAACACTAAAACCAGACCATTTTAAATGGTAGATAAAAGGCAGTGAAATTGATGAATGCCTTTTGGCAAGTACAGTTGAGTTTCCATGGGGTTTTATACATTATTGACACTGTCAGTGATTTCGGTGATTATGGCTACAGCTGGGATGTTATTATTACCATGTTGCAGTACTTCTGTTGGGAGGCTATTCCATGGTCACAGCTGGAAGTGTTAGTGGCATTTGATGTTCATGACCTGCAGTAATTGTACCATTTTATAAGAGGAATTCACGAAATCCATAGTCAAGAATTAAGCTGTGCCCGACCAAGTGACTTACGTTAGTAAGCAAGAGAGTGAACAGGAGTGGCCTCAGTCAGAATTCAATAGTTGCCACGAGAGACTGAGCAGGTCGTTGTGAGGGTAATGTGACCATACAATGGCACCAATCTACACAGAAATCTCGGGTTGCTGTGTTGGCACTGATATGTTTCCTTCAAGGCTGTCTTTTGGGTGGGAATTTTGTATGCCTTTAAGGCCAAGTGAATTCTACTCCGCAAATGTATTATGTGATGAATAACCCTTTCACCTTCTCTAAATTTATGTTTTTTTCAGATTATAAAAGTAACACATGTTCATTATGGATAATTTGAACAATACAACAAAGGGTAAAGAATAAATTGGAAACACATTTAATCTGACTGCTCAGAGGTAACCAATTTTAATATTTCTTTGGACGTCTTTCCAAATATGTATGCATATGAAATTTTTAAAAAATTGAGTCAATGCTGTACATATACTTTTTTTTTTTAAATTTAGCCTTTCTACCCCTAAGATTAGGACTTACTGAGCTGATGCACAAGAAAAACAGGAACCGATGAAATCTTTTAAGCTTTTAAGAGAAAGAATAAGTTGATTTATTAAAAATACATGCATTAGGTTTTTAATAAAAACAATAATAAAATATGTATCTTTTGTTGTATAGCTTAAAGTCAATCCTATGATGGCAAGGATCACACCTACACAAATCAAACAGTGGCTCACCCTACATAGTATAATGGGCATTGAGAGACAGCCCTATATTCTTTGCCTCCAAATATTTTCCTTGTTGAGAGTTGCTGATTATCTAGATTGAATCCTGAGAGATCAGTCTTTCTGGAGCACACAATTGTGTATGCAGAAATCTTCCATTGAAAAGCAACCATTTTTGACAAGGTAGGAAAAGTCTATCATCAGCTACTAATGTAGGCTAGCTTGCCAATGTCTTTTGAGGTTTCAGAAGGAAGAGAGCAGAAAGCTGAGGAAAAGGCAGGACATTTGTAAGGAAGGAAATAAGGAATATGATTGGTGTATAAGGCTGTAATTTACAAGTGCACATGAATAGGTTACCAGAGTCACAGATTACCATCTAAGTGCTGGACTTTATGTCTCCCTGTATGTCTTACTAGCACAACAAACTTGCTCAGAATAAATATTATGTCCCACCACAATTCTGTAGGTATACATACTGACTTCCTTGTTTCAGCATGATAGTTCTCTTTGAGTAATTTAAAAATTGTATTTGGACTTTTTCTCTCACTTCTACCATTTAAAATATATTATCATGACTTATAAAATTTTACCTAAGTAAAATCCATTCTTACTAAGTACTGGAGCTTTTTAAAGCACTTATTATCTCTCACCTGGTCTATTACAATAATCCTGTAGTTAGTCTTCTTCCCCCCAATATTTCCCTTATTGAATATTTCTACACATAGTAATTTATTAATATTTCCAACACATTGTTTAATCTAATTTATGCCAACCAAAGTTGTCAGTAGCTCTCTATGGTTCATAATGACAAGAACAATAATAAAACAAAATAATTATTAAAATCCTCCACAATTTAACCCAAATCTCTTTTCCTTGCCATAATCCCCTACTTCTTTATGGTATCCTATGCTTCAGCACACTTGGTCTAACTTCCACTATTATAAACATACATCGATTCTGTTTTCATTTATCTCTTGTCACTATTATTGTTTGTTAAAATCATTTCTATTAGCATTTTTTGAAGACAGAATTGTATCCTCTTCAACACTGTGTCCCCAGACATCAGATGGTGATTTCACAGAGTATGTGGTCCGTAAATGCTGATTGAATAAATTTATGTAGAAAAGAATTCATATTCTTGGAAGATATGAACATCTCAAGGCAAGGATGGGAATCACCAGGTCTAATGGTTAATTTTATGCACCAACTTGATTGGTCTATAGGATACCTAGATGTTTGGTCAAACATTATTCTGAGTGTGTGTGATGCTACTTCTTGGTGAGATTAACATTTGAATGAATGTATCTGTAAAACAGAATGAATGAATCTGTAAAACAGATTGCCCTACCTAATGTGGGTGGACTTTATCCTATCAGTTGAAGTCTTCTGTAGAATAAAAAGTGGCTGCCCTCTTGCAAGTAAGAGGGAATTCCTCATGTCTGAGTTCATGAGCTAGAGCATCATTCTTTCCCTGCCTTTGGACATGAACTGAAACATTGGCTCTTCTTGAGTCTGGAGCCTTCCTGCTTTCAGACTATAACTTATATTATCAACTTTCCTAGCTTTCATACTTTCAGTCTTGAACTAAACCGCAACATTTGGCTCTCTTCTTTATTTTTGACTGTTTATAATTCATTTATTTAATAAATATTTACCAAGTGCCTAATATATGCTAAGCAATACATTACCTATATATATAGAAGAAGAGTCGAGCCTGATGAATTCAAAGTACCAAAATTTAAGGACAGGAAGAAGAATACTTTAACACTTATAGTGGGTATGCTATTGACTCACAAAGCTAACTGGTAACAAAGAAAAAGTAGACTAAATATATTAGTCACTTTATTGACAAAAGAACTTTCATTTTGTACTAAATAAGACTGTGACTTTTGAGACCTAAAATAAATTTGATTCCCTAAGCTTCTACAGGCAAGAAACAGGTTAAAAAATTTGCTTGGTCCCCAGAAGAATTACTACAGATGTGGCTAAGTATTAAAACAGTAAAACCTTCAAATGGCCAGAGCCATAAGAACTGGAAAAGAATGGACTGAGGGCAAATCTCTGGAAGAGAAATCAAGGGGTCTAACCAAAGAATATTTCTAACTCTCTGGGGTAGAAGCCCTTTCCAATATTTATCCCATGGGATTTCAGAACAGCTATGGGGCCTAACTGATTTTTCATATTCTTTCCTTTCCAAATAGGATTTTTAAAAAAGTTATCCTTTTTTATTCCAGTAGTGTGTGTTATATAACTGGGGTTAAATACCTTGTTGTTATTTAGTGGGTTTCTTGATTTAGAAAAACACACATTGAGACATGAAGTAAGAGCTATCACAACACTTTGAGTTTGGTGCTGTGATTTGATGAGAAATTGTAGGTTTCTTCTTTGGTTAGCAAGCATATGTGCTTTGTGCACAGAAAGAAGGGACACAAATATTTGTAATCAACTGTGTGGAGCATTGTAGATTAAATTAGTTTTCCTGATTATAACTTTATAAGAGAAAGAGAAACCCATGTCCTAGGTAAGGGCTTGTTTGTGTGAAAAGAGTGGATGTTCTGTTTCTGTTATCATAGGGCTTGGTTATGCTATTCACTTTTTGCCATAGAATAATTTGCCTGTGGAAATGACAGCATTCCACAGGTTATTTAAGAAACTTCTTATAGATTCACTAGTTCGTGTGCTCTTTTCTTTTCTTCTGTGAGAACAGCATGTCCCTGATTGGGCTCTTCTTTCATAACAAAGAAGGTGGGTAGATGAGAGAACCAGTAAATGCAGGCCTAAGCCAATCACCAATTCTTACAAAACATGAGCAAGAAATACACTTTTGTGATCGGAAGACATTGAAATTCGGAAGATTTTTTTCACAGCAAAGCTGGTTAATATAGTGATTATTTCAGTCTTATTCTAGATTTTAAAGAGAATTTCTCTAGTGGTCCTCAATGTGTGGTGGCCAGACCACATTGTAAGTATAGATGACTGATAAACTGTCATAGCTCTCATATGTCCAATGTCAGGTGTCATGTATCCAGCCATTCCCATAATCCTAGGGTGGAAATGCTACCCTCACAAATGGGGTGAAGAGATGTAATAAAAACAAATAAAGTAGCTAGATCTCGAACTGAGGAGTGACTGATTCCAACGTCCATTGTCTTGTACAAGAAGACACAACATGTGAAAATGTTGAAAGAAATGAGAGTAAGCAGTATAGAAATCAACATGACTTTTTATTTTTTATTTATTTTTTTATTTTAGCATATTATGGGGGTACAAGTGTTAAGGTTACTTATATTGCCCATGTCCCCCTCCTCCCTCAAGTAAGAACTTCAAGCATGTCCATCCCCCAAACGTTGCACATCTTACTCATTGTGGTTGTATATACCCATGCCCTTCTCCCCCCTCCCACCCTCCTGACACCCGACAAATGTTACTCCTATATGTCCACTTAGGTGTTGATCCGTTAATACCAATTTGCTGGTGAGTACATATGGGGCTGGTTTTTCCATTCTTGAGATACTTCATTTAGTAGAATGGGTTCCAGCTGTATCCAGGAATATACAAGAGGTGCTATATCGCCATTGTTTCTTAAAGCTGAGTAGTATTCCATGATATACATATACCACATTTTATTAATCCACTCATGAATTGATGGGCACTTGGGTTGTTTCCACAGCTTTGCAATTGTGAATTGTGCTATAAACATTTGAGTGCAGGTGTCTTTCATAAAGTAACTTTTGATCTTTTGGGTAGATGCCCAGTAGTGGAATTGCTGGATCAAATGGTAGATCTACTTGTATTGCTTTGAGGTATCTCCATATTGCTTTCCACAGAAGAAATCAACATGATTGTTACATGAACATGTTTTAAGTAAAATTTCATTCAGTGGAGAATTGTTATTCTCCAAGATTGACTCTAAAAATGAGACATGTAAGCACATGTTAAAAATAAGAACATTTCACCAAATACAAAACACCCATTTTAGACCTTGTTATCATCTTGAATTTATAAAGAGTGTGTCAGAAAATGATACATTGACTCATGTTATACCAAATTAAATAACAGGTAAAATTTTGCGTTGACTTATTCCAACTACAGGTAATTTGTACCAGGCACTGTAGAAAAAGAAGAAAATGTAATTAAAAAAAATAATTTGTTATTATTTAATATAGATGACAGAAATAAGAAACTTCCAAAAGTATGTCCTAAAATTCTAGCAAGTGCTCAAAAGTGTCTATTTTATAAAGTATGTACCGCCAGGGAGATTGAATAATCCACATCATAACTGTCCATTATCTGATTTTTAAACTTTCTGAAATTTTAAGAGACACTCTGGCTCAAAGTCAATATTTTAGTGTATGAAGGCAAAGAAAATGAATGTACATAAATGGTAAGTATAAAATGAAATAGAGGACTGGTTAGAACCAAATAAAAGGAGAATGCCCATGCCAGTATGCTTTTTCCTACTAATAATCATAAATAGTACATATTTTACACCGAATTATATGGAAGGTGATGGAAATTTTAACTTACATTAAGGGCAAAAAAAAACATTTGCAGAATTTAATTTAGGGGGACTACCATTTCTATTTTTTCTTTTAATTAAGATGTAATTTACATACCACAAAAGTCACCTTTTAAATATGTAACTGAGTGGCTTCTATTAATAATATGCTCCCAAAATGTATAACCATAGCCACTAATTCCAGATCATTTGTATCAACCAAACAGAAACCTCATACCTATTAGCAACCAGGCTCAATTCCCTTCTGCCTGCATCGCTCGGTAACCATTAATTTACTTTCTGTCTGTAGATTTCTCTATTTTGGATATTTTAGATCAATGGAATCATATTCTATGTGGACTTTGCATCTGGATTCTTTCACTTAGCATGCTTTTAAGGTTCACA